CGAGCTCGGTCTTTTGTGCGTCCTGACACAAGCAAGGGCCTTTGCACGTGTGGCTTGCCCTGCAACACCCTGCGTGCCTCTTTCCGCTCCTGAGCGTATGGGGCGAGTATACCCTGAAGGCTCCCCCAGCGTGCCCTCACTCCTTCAATTTCACGGAAGCTGCCCCTTCTGCAGACCAGGTTGGCCCTGTGACACTCTGGGCAGCACTGAAGGAGGTTACATGCACACGCACCTGTGCGAGCACCTGCTGCCTTAGCTAAAAGGCGGGTCTGTATTGCTCAGCACCGAGCCCGGGCCCCTGGCACCAGAGGGGCCCAGGCAGCATTGAGCATGGTCTGAGGGGGTGGCAGAGGCTGGGGCCGTGGGACCAGGCCAGAGGTGCTCCTCCAGTGGGAGCCCCGTCCCACTCCACCCCAGCAGAGCCAAGCAGAGCCAGTAACCTCCCCACGGAGGCAGCCTAGCGAGGGCCCAGCACTCCCCCAGGACGGTCTCCCAGGCAGGTGGGCTGTCTTTGTCTGAGCATCATCAGGGGAAGGTGTGAGAGTCCCGAGGCCTCCTCAGGCTTTCCCTGACGAGCGGAAGGAAAAGACTGAAGTTTGTGTGTGTTTTCAGAGTGAACCTGGCTTGCAGACTCCAGATTAGCAAATGCCTTTCTCTGGACTGATTGTCCTGGGAGTGGGGCCTGGGGCCACAAGGCTGGTGACTTCTGTGAGCCTCCATCCTCCTCAAGCTGCCTGCAGGTTATTGTGATGCTGTGATGCCCAGAGGTGCTGGAGCACAGCAGGGCAGTGGCGGCCACACACAGTAGGCTTAGCATCTTAAAGCTAGGGATAAGGCTGGCAGCATCCTTCAGTCCATGGCTGGAATCATCATCATGTTTATCCCAGCCCCTCATAGGGCAGGAAGAGCTCTGAACCCATGCTTGGCCTACACTCATGTTGTTCTACACCCATTGCTTGTCCTACCCCCATGCTTGTCCTATACCCATGCTTGTCCTATACCCATTGCTCATCCTACACCCATGCTTGTCCTATACCCATGCTTGTCCTATACCCATGCTCGTCCTACACCCATGCTAGTCCTACACCCATTTGTCCTACACCCATGCT